GCGACTGTGAATGTGGTCCAAGTCAGGCCAGGTACTTCGAGCTTAGAGCCTCTCAAGTTCCCCTTCCAGGGCCCATTTCTTCCCTCGCCGTCTCCGTCTTTGGACTCTCTTCCCTGGCAAGCCCCCTTCTCTCCCCTTTTCCCCCTTCTGCCGCCTGTCCGCCTATCTTTTGTTCTCAGGGCAATGTAAGGCGCGGCACCGTAATTCCAGCCATCCAGGGTACATTTACCATGCCTTAACCCCCGACTGGCCCTTCCCAACTTTGGAAGCCACATCTGAGTCGGAAGCATTCCAATTTTTTTCTTTGCGCGTGCTCCATCCACGCCATCTCCCCTCATCCTCCTCCGCTTTCCGACCTTTCTCTCAACCAGTGCCATTTCTTTCTCTCTCATTCGGCATCAACAACAAAACAAGACAAACGCCTTGACGCTCGCCAGAGACCTAGAGCATAGGCTCACAGTTGCTCTGCTCAGAACAAACAGTCCATTGGGCTGCCCCGAGAACACGAATTCGATACGTGTGGCTCCCTCTGTCTGTCGACCTAGCTTCCTAGCAAAGTTCTCCTTCAACTTTGCCTACGTTACCATCCGCGGCTTGCAGTCTCTATTGCCGGGCCCTTGGCCCTACTTCACTTCACCTTGCCCGCTCTCATTCGGGCTTGGAGGCTCAAAGCAAAGGCACCGTACCTCATTCTCCCGTATCTTACCGGTCGTCTCATCTCGTCATCGTCATCCAACGGCTGTTTGGGTTCGTCTTTCTTTTCCACCGGCATCCCTCCCGGAGCCATACACGCGTTCCGTACACCTCTCATTTTCGTTGACAAACGGATGGGCTACTGCCCGTATCACAACTACTCCGCCATACCGTACCGTCCTCTCTTAACTCTGTTCCTCTTAATGCCCTCTCACTCTCCACAACCCGACGACAAATCGAACCCGACCAAAACCCGCAATCCATGAAAACGGCCATTTAGGGTCAACCAACCCACAGCAGCCCGGGGCTTACCGCTTCATTCTTCACTCTCTCCAATTCTTGATACACTTCTCATCACCGCCTTTCTCAACAAATCAGCTGTCTGCCACACGCGCAGACAACCGCAAACCAAATAGCCAACCCAAGTTGCAGATTGCCTCTCACTTGCAGCTCTCTGCATTTTGTTTGCGTTCCTACAAATCGGCCATTGAGCAAACCACATCCCGACCACGTCCGACTGAATCGTAGAGCAACGACCATGACCACCTCTTGTCGCTCCAGGTAAACTCACATCGCACTCAGCAAGATTGCCCTACACGGCGGGGCTATCTTTGCCAATCAGCGCTACTTCCGCGTACCCTCTACTTCTGTCATTCTAGTTTCCAGCCGTCTTTGCCGTTGACCGTCTGGTCTCGGTAAAGAACACATTCGCTTCAAATGGATTTGCCAAAGGGACTCGTCAAAGACGACAGGCGGATATACGAAGATGTTGCAGCGCTCACGCAGCCTCTACCGCCGGATTTCATCATAAGAATGTGGCGTCGTAAGTCAACAGCCGCTCGGAGTGTGCTTTCACATGAAAATCTAACGTCACGTCATAGTCTACACCACAACAAATCTCAAACTTGTTGATCCAACCGCACGCCGCTTGGAAAATCTGTGGTGGCATGTCATGGGCAGCGATAGAAGCAAATTGAAAGCTGCGACCGTGGCCAAGATATGGGAACACATCTCCTATGGTCCAACCTTTGTGCCTCTCAAAGGCTCGCCGAACCGCTGGGAGGGACCTTCGGTATTTAAATGCCTCGCTCGGTACGAATTGGCACTTTGCTAACGTTATGTCCAGACGCCTCGTTTTAATAGCCAGCATGAGTCTGATCCGGTTCTCAGCGCTCAGCAAATGAACCAAGACATTAAGATGATCTCTGAACAGTCGGCTCTGAAGGAGTTGTCCGCCTCATCATCTCGACCCCCGCCACCACACCCGATTCTCAAGAAGCATAGGGGTGACTCGAAATCTGGTCCTCGGCCGACAGCCCGATTTGTGTCGCCTCACGAGTCTGCTGATGAAGACTACCAAACTAGTGATGAGACGTCGTCGGAAAGCACAGGCGCCAGTGGCCTAGAAATGCGCACTTCATCAACAGTCTCCCCAGCAAAATCGAGCAAGAAGAAGCCCTCAACACCAACGAAACGATTTGTTGCATCAGCGTCGGGTAAGAGAAGACCGGTTCTGCCAAGGAGAATGAGCTCGCAGTCGTCAACAAACTCCGACATTGGGATCAAGGAGCCCGGTTCTGCCAACGGAGGCAAACACGTGGGAACTTATAACGTGATGCATCCTCATGCCGAAGAAAGTGCTATCCTGAGCGTATCCGGGTCAGAGGGATTCGAAATGCCGCCACCTAGCGCCAAAGCCCTGGGGAAACGACCAGTCGAAAGATCTATTTCGGAATCTCCGAGATCGGTGGGTAATTCCCGACCTACTGAAGAACGGCGGAAACCGGTGCTTGTACAAACAGCAAACCGCGCACCAGCACCAGAGCCCTTGAGCAAATCCGCAACCGACCGGTCGAGTCGCGAAGCTGGCACGGTCAAAGCCGGTGGTCCCAGGACGCCTACGTATATACCAGCCGCATCACCCGCGCTCTCATCACCAAGAATCGGGTCATTCTCTTCAGCACGTTCCGGCTTTTCGGCGCCGCGTATGGAGCGGGCACCGTCGAATTCCGAGTCCTATCGACCGAGGGAGGCTAGCTTTGGTCGTGGTTCTGCGCAGGGGCTCATATCGAGCGCTACCGCGAGTACGTCGAACATTGCAGCCATGGGGCAGGTGACGATATCTGGTGAGCCGGATCGACGCGCTCTGGAAACCTTGGAAGGCTTTCAGGACGAATCTGGACCCAGGGGCAACCCACGCCGAATTTCCTCCTCATCGCACTTCGCGCCGACAATGCCAAGCTCTACTCCCGATGTGCCACTAGCAAGAACAAGAAGCCAGCTGACGCTACTGCTGGAGCGCGAGAAAGAGCGCACTGGGGATAGGCCAAGACACAGGTCGTGATCCCGACAGCCAAAAGAAAAAAAAGTCTACTTTCATGACTCACATACAATCTTATGTACTAATTTGCGAGGTATCAACTGCATTAAAAGGGGCTTCTGGAGTTCATGGAACACAAAACGGGTGCAGTCATTCGGAAGTGGATGTCTTGCTTTCGACTGAGGTTGCCGCTACTGGTAGTTGCGTCTGCCGCTGGCAATACCGACCTCATTGCCTTTTTTTCCTTTATTCTTTTCATCAGCTCGACGAGGCCGGCCTTTAGGAAGAAGGTTTGGCGCATTTGCATCGCACGAGGCGTTTTCATTACCGGCGGTCACGGGGCCCCTTTCGCAGGGAAAACGCCTGACATGCATTACAGGAGGGGACTGCCACCAAAAAGGGTTCATTGTATGCGTTCATAGCGGTTCAACGGGCAGCGGCGGGATCATTTGAAGTTCGAAAAGAGGAAAGACGAACGGCTTGCTCTTGGTGCGCCATCATTTTGTCAGCGACCCACCGAGCTCTTACTAGCGAGCCATTCTGAATGAGAAGATATTTGTTACCCAACCACCTAACTGACCAGATCATCCATTAAGAAACAGAGATAGGTAGGCGAGTGAAGGCAATGTGGCCATCAAAAAGACGAGTGCGTATTGCCCGGGCTGAAACATAACAGGGGATGACGAGCTTAGGTCCAAGGAGGATCTAAACTGCTTTCTCTCCGGACTTGCTCACTCGGCTTACTCTGACTCCACAGCATCGGTCGTAATTCTAGCTAAGGCTATTGTACAGTCCCCCGATGGGAATCTGACTCGATGATCAGGCTCTAGGAAGTCTCTTGACTGTGAGCTCTCTACCAAAAGGTAGTAGTGAATTGCCTAGTTGTGAGGGGTAGGCCATAGAGGATCCGTTAAAAAGGAGGGGAGGTGGCCAAAGACGAGGAAAAAGCAAAATCGCAACTGATCACGAGGTCAATTGTCTGGGACAAGGGAGGGGGGGTCCGACTTGCAAGCGTGAGATGGCGTCGATATCGCAACCTGGAAAGCCATTACGCAATCCGAAATAAGGGGTCTCTTGCTTGTGTACGATGAGAGAGGGCCCCCTCCAAGGCTCCAATCACCCTATCAAGGGAAGAGTGAGAGTGATCTGCAGGCTTTTTTGATGGTAAGCGACTTCTTCTCAAAGATTACCCCGTGGCAAGACTGGGGTTGTCTGTGAAGATCACTCAGTCCGTCGGATATCACTGGAGAGAGTTGAAGGTAACAAGTATCCGTACACCTAGGCCCCCCCTCCGCCTCCCCACTTCCCTCCCCCCACGCCTTGGCCACGCGGACCTGCCGTGTCGAGCGCGAGGGGCAACGACAGGTCGGAATGGGTGGTGGGTGTGGAAGGAGGAGCAGAAGCTGTCGAAGCTACCCTGGAGCTTCTCTGTTGACAGGGGGTAGCTGTGCGGGGTAGGTATACACAACCTTAGAGGGAGAGGAGGGAGCTCAGAGGTTTGGGGGCAACGCGGTTGTGGGTTGTATTAGCCGTTGGAAGCCGCTCGCTTACTAAGGTAAGGTAAGTTGTGTGTACTCTTCCCATCGTCCCCCCACGTCTGTAATTACCTTACTACCCGGGAATCCTGTCACGCAAGTTTGGACACAAAAGGAGTTGACAGGGCTTACGCAGTGATGTCGCGTTGGATCCCTATTAATAATGTACTGCCTAGCCCCCCCCCCCGGGCCTCCTCTTTGTATTGGCAGATTTTGCTTGAGAGAAAACTTGAGACCTGCCCGGCAAGCACCATAACGACAATGAACCAGAGTGTCGACTGGTTTCCCCCACACTAGCGGGATGGGCGGCATACACGACCATATCTTACACTACCGGTACTGTGACGACCTCTCACCCAGGTGAGATGGCAGATGGGTTTTGACAAGGGAGGGGGGGGCAAGAAGGACGTGGCGAGCATAAGGTGAACAAAAGAGCCATACCTATAGTATGCTTATCGCTCTTCGAGGTCCTCGCCATGGCTTTCTTCCTCCTCCTCCTCCGCAACATGCGCGCTCCCCGGCACGTCTCCCACGTGCGCTGACAACGGCGCCGGGTTCGAAAAAGCATCAGGGGAGGCTACGGGATCCTTGTCTACCCTGAGTCCCCTGGAGGCCTGTATATTCCCCATGCTGTGGTCCAGAGCTTGGGTTCCATCGCGCGGTTCGTTCAGTTGAATAGGTATCCGTACTGTGAAAAAGTGTTGAGAGCTTCCTCGGTGTGATTCAGTCAGCATTGGCACGGTACTCTTTGGGTTAATGAACGAGGCGCCGTGTCGACCGGAAGGATGGTTCAATAATCAAGAATCTCGTCACAAACGTTGATACTACTCTCTACCCATGCCACATACAGCCCTTGCTAGATTACTTGCTTTCCTTCCCATGTCTTTCTCATGCTGCTGAGTCCTGTCCCTGTTATCCCCCCCGTCTGCCGAGCCGGCGGGATAGTTCCTATAGTCTTCCTGCCTCTTATCACATCCGGCTCCTTGTATACTCCATGAGACCGTATCACGTTTCCATATATGGATAGGTAGGTTAGGTGAGACTCAATCCTCAACGGGTCCGAAAAGAGTCTCCGTATTTTAAGCCGCTTGTCACATGTCCGCTAGACATTGACCACCAGTTCCCAACATCTGGTTTCCGTCGTTTAGCTCCCACACCTACAAAAGACTTCAAACCTCCCACCAACACGAGAGCCGCGAACACGACAACAGCAGCAAACAAGTCTCTCGCCGGGGGTTAGACAAGACACATGCTGGTCTGCCTACCTACCTGCCTGCCTGCCTGCCAGCCTGCCTGCCTGCCTACCTACCTGCATATAAGTACGGGGCGTACATACAGCCAGAAACCTCCGCCTTTTCGCCTATCTACCTTACCACACGCACCTCCCTCCCTCGCACCGCCCAACCAAACAATCTTACTGCAGGTCGCTCAAAACCCCCAAGACAACAAAGTTCTGGACTCTTGACCCCCCGACCTTACCGTTCCCCGGTTCCCACCAACACGCCGGTGCCGTCCGTCGCACAGCATATGCTGGTTACATGACAGGCAGTGCACGAAACGCCAAATAAGACCGGTCCAGCGACCGCTCTCCTCGTCTACCTACCCATGTGCAATACCTACCCTCCCCCCCCCCCCCCGCAAACGCACGGCACGGCGTTGGACCCTCGATCGTGCAGATGTTCCAGTCATTTTTCGGTGTGTGGGTGCATGTGTGTGCTTATATTGTGCGTGTGGTAGCAACGGCGGAAAGTAAGGTAGGAGGGGCAGTACTGACCAGTGCCGGCCGCCATGTAGTCTTCCTTCCGGCTGTCATGCATTCGTCATGTCTACCGATACCTATAGTCTCTCATAAGGAATCATATAAGCTAACGTACTCTAATTTCTTATGGTCATCTCACTGAGAATCAGAGCGTCGGGAGTACCGAACCCCAGGCCGGCCCTCGAGACGAGGCTTCAGACAAGGCTCAAGACGAGGGTAAGAAACAGAAGGCTAGAAGTGTTAGATACGGGACGGCTCAGGATAGGGGAGACCCGGCGATATGAGAGATCGGATAACTGTCGGTGGCCAGTCCGGTGACCCTATGCTGCGGGCCCCGTAACACTGCATGTCGAAGTGGTGGAATACCTCGATCGGTACCGACGAATGAGCCTCATCGAATACGCTGACCGGTGTAAAGCTACCTAGCTTAGCCGCCTTTCACATGCCACCCCCATAGAGACTTAGTTAGCCTCTTCGGAATCTTATCACGGATTGTTTAATCATTATCAATTTTACTATCTGTCGACGTATCAACAAATCAACCTTCTATGTTCTCACAGCAAAAACGCCAATCACTCTAGTGGAATTGCAAACTTTTGACGTCTTTCATCCTCTCCTTCTTCAATCCAATTCAAATTAAGGACTCGTGGCGGCTCATGTGACGGTGTAACCGCCATCAACGCGGAGGTCCGCACCCGTGACGTAGAGAGAGGCATCAGACAGCAAGAAAGTGACGGGTCCCATGAGGTCCTTCGGCTGACCCATCTTGCCCTGGGGAATCAGAGAAGTCCACTTCTGCTTGAGGTCTGGGTTGTCGTCGAGAATCTTCTCAGTTCTGCACATGTGCGTTAGTACTGGCTGCCCGGACACAAAGAATTTGGGCGGTAGACTTACAGAGCTGTGAGCATGTAGCCGGGAGAGATACAGTTGACACGAATGCCTGCACCAGCCCACTCGACAGCCAAGGAGGCAGCCAAGTGACGGACACCAGCCTTTGCGGCGTTGTAAGGTCTGTTTGAACATGTGTCAGCGAATTCAATGCCTCGAAAGAAACAAGACTCGATGAAACCTACGCTTGAGGCTGGGGGACGTTGACAATAGAGCCAGACATGCTGCCGATGAAGACCATACTTCCAGGAGACTTGCGCTCCATGAGATGCTTGGCCACGCCGATAGCGAAGAGGTATGTGCCGTCGACATTGACGCCCCAAAGCTTGCGCATACGCTCAATGGGGTAGTTGATGGCATCAAAGTTCTCGGTGAAGCCGGCCGACGTGACGAGGTTGTCAATCTTGCCGTGAGCAGCGAGGATCTCGGCAATACAGGCGTCGACAGAGGCGGGGTCTGAAACGTCTGCGTGGTGCGCAGTTACCTTGGGAACTCTGGTATATGTTGTTAGGCGTCCGTCACTTCTTTTCAGGGTCAATTGGATCGTCAGAGTACATACCTCTTGGCCTCTGGGTTTTCTCTCTTGAATGCCTCAAGGAGGTTCTTGGCTTGGAGCTCAGCCTCCTCCTCTATCCCGGTGTCAGTACATGGAGAATCATGAAGCTTGTCGGCAATCGGGATCTACAACTCACTGTTCAAGTCGACAATGGCAAGGTCGCTGCCGGAGTAGACCATGCCTTGGCCCATAACCAAGCCAAGGCCGCGCGCACCGCCAGTGACGACGCCGGTGTGGCCATCGAGAGAGAAGGAAGCAAGCGTGGGCTTGCCAATGCCACCACCGTGACCGCGGACCGGCTGACTGCTAGGCAGCTGGTCGTCCTCGGGGTACTCGACTGTAACATCGGGATCGGTTCTTGAGTACTGGCCCGGGTGAGGCTTCTCTCTGACGTTGGGGCTGCCGCTGATGGATCTAGACTGTTGCTGCTGCTTGGGGCTAGTGGCTGCAATGCTAGCTTGAGCTGCAGAGGCGGAAGACTGAGAGGATTTGCCGCGGACCTGGGTGTGTCTCGCGATGGGACGAATGGTCCGCGCCAGTCGGGCGCTAAGAGGACGGAACATTTTGAGTGTCTGCGGGTGTGAAAGTGTTACACGCGGTGTTGAAGTGTATGTACGTGAATGTTGCCGTCTGAAATAATACGACGGTCAGAGTCGATTCGAGGTGCCCTTCGGAAGGAATAAAAGTGTGAAAGCGAAACAATGATGGCGTTTGTTTCGGTTTTGGAGAACCGTTGACTTTTGCAATTGACTTCAGCCGGATGATGTCACGGAATTAGTTTTTGTTGAGCGGCGACCTGGATCGAGCAGATGAAGCTAGCTGTCTCTGGCAGATGCGGAGTTGACGATCAAACCTGGCAGAGGGTTGGCGGAATTCGAGGCGCCCAAGTTTGGGCAAAAGCAACGATGAGAGGAGCTATGGTGGGGTAGATGACGTGGGACGAGCGGGAGGGTAGTGATTGACTCCTGATCGTCTGGTTGTAAGTCTGGATCGGGAAGTACGTCTCGTAATTCGGGGTCGGTTGGACTTGGTTTGTTGTATGTGAGAAGTTGGTAGATGGGAAGGGAGGGGAGGAAGAAAGTCGCGGGGAGGAGGACACTACCTTAAGGTAAGTATGGCAGAGGGGAGGAGCTTGGAACCTTGAAGAAGGCGCGGGAGGGAAGGAAGGGAGCTCCCGTTTATTATGAGTTTTGGAGCTTTCCATTGGGAAGGAAGGAACGACGGGACGGTAGGGAAGGAGGTTTAGGTAAGACATTCGTGGACACTGGCAAGTAAGGAAGGATCGTGGCGTGAGTTGATCTAGTGGTCAATTGGTTTACTTGGCAAGGGCAAACAAGGATTGGTGGTGTTGGTGGTGGTGGAAGGAATCATGGAACTTGGTAGCAGCCAAAAAGAGAAAAGGGAAAAAGTTCACGATACTTTGGGCGTATGGACGCGTCTCGCAGCTTCCCGGCCCAAAACCACGTCTCAACCGGCCAGGTCCCAAGTCGCAGGTTCCAGGCGCCGCATGTCGCAGGTCGTAGCACGTCCGCCGCTCTCGCACTGCCTCGCGGGGAGTTGCCCCGGAACTAGGGCTGGACTCAAGGAGCCCGAGCGGACACCCATGGGCCAAAATAAGGATCGCTCCATGCCACCCACCGTGCCCACCGCCCACACTAGAACCACAACCCCGGGGCGGGGGTGGGCCATTGCCCCCAAATGGCCCTCTTCTAGGTGGACTGGCTCCTCCATCCCGGCATGCCCGGCTGCCGGCTACCAGGCCAGACGGGTAAGTCCCTGATTTTGTTTGCCTCTGAACTACCACCGACACTGGACGTTGCAGCGCATTCGATGATGGGTAGTATGGTACCGTGTAAGCTTAAGGCTAGACTTATATACTATGCAGTCTCAATGATACATATGGACAATAACAGTGTAGATGCTGTGAGTGAATGGCCTTATGCATGAATATGCGATGTGTATGAAATCTTTATGAAAAGTACCCGACTAGAATGCCAACCACGAGCAGAACATGAGATGAGAGAAACAAGACGGAAACCCCTTAAACCCATGTCAAGGTTTCCATGTCTCCTGCTCATCATTCCGAGCTCCCCGTGTTCCTCGTGTCCCGAAAGGGAGCCTGTGGAGTCAGGGAAAGAAACAACGAGAAATCTTGACAGAGCTTGTGACCCAACCTGGCCAAGAAATGTGAGGAGCTCCAACTTTTTTCCTCCTCTCAAGGAACTTCCGGAGGTTTTGGGGGTCCTTGGGGGCAAAACATTAGGCATCTCTCGAACGCCATTCTCCACATTTTACTCCAATTTTTCCTGCACGAGATGAGATTCTAGAATGCCATGAGATTAGGACTGGCCAAGGGTCTGGCCATCGTTGTTCATCCTCACAGACACACACTCAGTCTCACACACCTCAGACCTCAGACGCAGACCAGACAGAGAAATCCTAACCTCCGGTTCGGAGACCGCCTCGATCATGCAGCCTGTCACACCGTCACATTATCACGTTGATTGGGATGGCCATGCTGCTGGCTTGGCCCGTCATCTTGTTTACCCACTTTGTTTCTTTTAATTCTCTGCTGAACACGAGGTCCTCTGCATCGAGGCTGACTGACTGACCGATAGTCCGGACATCACTGCTCGCCATGCTACCCCCGTCGGGCCACCGGCTCCTAACCCCAGTCTCTAGACTACTACTTGTCAACACTGGATCGCCGAACTCGGCTCTCCGCTTGCACCTGCCGTGTAAGTTATTGAATACTTCTCTGCACGATATGCGGAGTAGAATCGTCAATACATAAGGGTATTCTCTATGGGGGATAAAACCTGGTCGAGGCATCATCAATAATAGCATCGGCCGTGCTCATCCCCTTCAAAAGCACGAACAAACCATTCCCAATCGTCGTCAGTCACCACGCCTCGAGCCAACGGAGCTAGGTACAGCAGTAAGCGTTGCGAGTCCTCCTCGTCGCTGCAACGTGCTCCATGTTGCATGAGGAATAGAGCAAATCTGGCTGTCTTTGCAAAAAGCAAGCCTCTGAGGTAAAGGTCCAACAACGTGAAATTGTCAGACTCTTCGTGCCGCCGAAACGTGACCCTAGCATTGATGTCCTCGTCCGTCAATAGCAGACGCTTGCAAATGTCTTGTGCCACAGCAAGGTTGGAGTTTGGGTCTGAAAGTCTGAGAACCTTCTCTGAGATCCTCAAGACCAGCGAACTCTTTTTGGGGTCTGCCACCTTACTGCCAGCTTCGATAAGCATAGACAGCACTTCGAAGCTGCCCCTGCACAAGGCAGTGTCAATGACCTCATTCTCGTAGTTAAATTCGTAGGAGAAATCGTAGGGTCTTTCCAAAATGTCTACCACAATGGGATGTAGTGTCGTCTTAGCCTTAGACTCATATGAAGACACTTTATTGACGTCGGGAAGGAAACAGGCATCAAACAGCTCAGCGCTAATGCTGGGATGTCGAGCAGCATATCCAACAGCACTGGGAAAGATGTCAACATCGTAGAGAACTTTGCTATCAGAACGCAGAAGTCGATAGATGACCAAGCCCGGAACGTCCAAGTTGTCTGGTTTCGGCGGATTGTCATGTTTCGATCTTCTCCACGGTGCCCGCCTGAACATTTTCTCCATTTCGGTGACGTTGATCTTGATGTTATCCAATACTATCTCAGCGAGCTGTCTGCTCTTGGTGCCTTTGGACACGCAGGCTTCCATGCAAATCAGGTAGATGCCCAGCATAACTTTTCGATATGGATCATCTATCTGAGCGCAGGTAGGCTTGATCAGGAATCTAGCCAGCCGTACATTGGCGTTGGCGAAAGCATTGATAACTGGAATGTCAAATGTATACATAAACTCGTCCCAACATGTCTCGCGTATTTGCCTTATGACGTGAGCATCATAGCAAACGAGCAGCTCGGCAACATCGCCATGGTTATATCGTGTAGGATATGAGAGAGGTGTATCGCCGTCCTCCTCCTCTCCGTTGGCGTAAGATGCGGCGTCTGGATACTTTTCTAGCAGCGTCCGAACTATTTGAAGGAAGCCCAACCCTGAGCAGATGTGAAGAATGTCGGTTGATGGAAGTACCTATTTTATCCTGTCACTTTCTCTTATGTGTTGGCTAGCATTCTTCTTGTGCTCGTACCACCAAACAGTACGAAATAGCGATTCCTTATGAAAGAAGATGCTGTCGACTGCCAAGAACTGGAGAGACTCCGATGATGGCCTGGATGGCGAGGATGAGGGCCGATGCGAGCAGGATCGAGTCGAGGCAAAACGCGGAAGGGATCTCAGCCCCTTTGCGGCGGAATTTGCTGGGAAATCTATGAGAAGTTGGGGAGAAAGAACAGTGAAGGTAAAGGTGAAGGATCCCATGACCGGAACACGGGGGTCCCACAGGCAGACGGTCCATCTGCTCTAGGGCTTTCTTATGTGGGATTACCAAAGACCGGTAAGGCATCTATGATGCAAGATGTAATCAGGTGATTCAATGGACCTCTCCTTGAACCAAAGAAACAGTACTGCCCCTTTGTCGCAGTCCAAGATCGATATATTTGCCTGCCTGATTTCTGGGAGCTGGCAATTAAAAGGGGATGACACCGCTGCCCTCTAGAATCTAGAGGCTTCACTTCTGTATCTCCTCATCACTATCACAAATCACTATCAGTTGATCCGAATACACTGCAAGATAGCCCAAACATGGCTGAAGTCCTCGCAACCTCAAGTGCCGTCGTCGCCTTGACAGCCACAACTTTGCAGAGCATCAGGGGAGCGAGAGAGAAGATTGACAAAATCACGCGAGCCCCTGAGCTCATCGCCAACATCAAAAAGGAGTTGCAACTTATCCAGAATCTGATGGAGCGCCTCGAGATCTCGGTCAAGTCAAATGACACCGAAGTACTGTCCGTTGCCGCAGACACCAACGTGCAATCCGCCCTCACGGCCTGCGGCGCCTCATGTTGTGCCTTGGACAACGAGGTGGACAAGCTTCTCAAGCGCTCGAAAGACGGACGCGTTCACTTGATGGACAGAGTGAACATCGGACTATTTGGCAAAGACAAGCTCCAGATTTTCGTGGACGAGCTCAGAGTTTGCAAGCAAACTGTTGACTTGGCTTTAGCCGGCGCCAACTTGTGAGTAATTTATCACGATCATTCAGTTTTGATAGCATATCTGATTTCCTCGCAGTTTGGCATCTATTGAGCAGACCAAGTACCTTCAAGCTATCGTGGAACGAATTGAGGTCAACAGTGGAGATGTACACTCCGAAACCAAGCTCCAGAAGTTGAGGGACTTGATCAAGGGGTACGAGGAGCTTCAAGCATCCCTGTTTGTCCAGGTCAATGAGAGACGAAGCAAGTTGGTGGTGGGCAAAGTCAAGGTCTTGGAGTCGCAGGCCGTCATCGGAATCCACGGCGCGGACGGGACTGGCGGGGAGCTGAATGTCCAGCTTGGCAACGTTGAAGGCCAAGGATCCAACATGCTGTTGGGATACTCCAAAGGCATTGACCTGAACGCTGCCTTTTTCAAGAAAGACAACTAGTTCGTAAGTCCATGATTCACAGAGTGATGTCACTGCGATGTGACAGACGAACACCCAAAAGACAGGAATGGAGATGTAGATTTGGATGTAGAGGAAGAAGCCAGATGGAGACAATTTTTTGCAACACAAATACCTCCAGACTGTGAACTTGTTACTTCCCAATTCTCTGTGGTGGCAACCTAATAGAAGAAATTTACCATTGGAATTCTACATGCTTTTGCGGTGACATCAAAGGTCCCGTCTTGATTCTTTGCTCCTGAGATCCCAAAGTGGCTCGCTCGTTGTTCTTTATATCCATGCTACTTGTATGTTAATCACGCCAGGTGGGCATATTCCTTGTTGAATGCCCTTCCAATGACCATTCTCCGGATTTCCGAAGTTCCGGCACCAATCTCATACAATTTCGCACTGATGACAGTTAGAACAGAAGAGCCGGACGTACTTTGGGCTTGACTTACTCTCTCAACAGCCTCGAAGCTGGCATTTCCTCGACATAGCCCATGCCGCCAAGAAGCTGGATACTGTCCAGAGTGCACTCTGTCGCCCTCTCGGCAGCATACAAGATGGCGCCGGCGCAGTCCTGTGTCTTGATGATCCCCTCCTCGTCAACAGCCTTGGCCGTGGCGTATGTGTATGCACGGGAGGCCTGGAGCTTCGTGTACATGTCTGCCAGCTTGCCCTGGATGAACTGGTTCTGAGCGATAGGGATGCCGAACTGCTTCCGCTGGTGGGTAAAGGGCAGAGCGACGTCCAGCGCGGCCTGCATGATGCCCAGAGGTCCGGCGCTAAGAACGAGACGCTCCAGGTCCAAACCCTCCATCAGAACTCTCACACCACCGTTGATCTTGCCGAGAATGTTCTCCTTGGGCACGAAGACGGAGTCAAAGTTGAGCTCGCCGGTGTTGCTTCCGCGCATACCCATCTTGTCGAGCTTCCTCGCGCAGCTGAAGCCCTTGGTCTTGGTCTCGACGAGGAACGCCGTGACGCCCTTGGATCCCTTCTCGGGCTCCGTCTTTGCGTAAACGACGATGACGTCGGCGTCGGGACCGTTGGTAATCCACATCTTGGAGCCGTTCAGAACGTAGCCACCATCGACGGCCGTCGCTGTCGTCCTCATGCTCACGACATCGCTGCCGGCGCCAGACTCAGACATTGCGAGCGCGCCGACGCTCGTGCCGGCAATCAGACCGGGAAGGTACTTCTGCTTCTGCTCCGGAGAACCGTTGAGCTGGAGCTGGTTGACGCATAGTTGGGAGTGGGCGGCATAGCTGAGACCAATTGAGCCAGAAGCACGCGAGATCTCTTCCATGACGACGCAATGCGCCTGGTAGCCCATGGCCAGACCACCAACGTCTTCATCGGCAGTCATGCCCAGGAAACCCGCCTCGCCCAGCTTTTGCCACATCTCATTGGGGAAGGCATTGCTCTTGTCCGTGTTCGCGGCAACTTCCTCTGTGATCTCGCGCCTTGTGAACTCCTGTACGCGCTCGCGCAGCTCGGTAAGATCGGCTTGTGACGGTGCTTCAAACCCCTTGGGATGCTTAGAGGAGTGGTGACGGATCTGGAGGGCGGGGGCAGCGACGGGTCGCAATTGACGCGCTGGCCGCGCCAACGATCTGAATGCTCTAACACTTGACATGGCTGTAGGTTGTGCAACGAAATCGAGAATAGAATAAGTTGAAAAGAGAGGAAATGAAGAACAACAACTTCTCCTACGATTGATGATCCAAGTTACCTTAGCTTGATGCCGAGCTGGAGGTCCAACCGGGACAAGAAGGTGCTCGGCTACGGGCGGCTTTCAGCGGGCCGAGGTGAGCGATTGGACGTCACTGGAATGGTATACCGTCAGCAAGCGAGCGGCCCTCGAACCTCTCCTTCCCGTCTTCAAGGGCTTCGTCGGCACATGTAGTGCTCCTCCTTCATACTCTCAAACTGCTGCACCCTTTGGATCTTCCTTTGTAAACGTCCACAATATGTCTTTCTCACGGTCATCGAGAGATGTGCTGCTTCTGTCGCGTCAATTGACCCGGCCGGGGTTTAGGGCACCCCGCCTCCCGCGATCCGCCCGTACCGTTGCGACCTTCACGCCGCCGCACCAGGCGAGCGCCATCTCCCGAATCCAGACCAATGTCGATCCAACATCCGAAGAGTATAAGGAGAATGAGAAGCACATGGGGGAGGTGATGAAGAAGATGCAGGACTTGACACGCAAGGTGCACTTGGGTGGCTCAGCAAAGGCGAGGGAAAAGCACCTGGCGAGGAAGAAGATGCTGCCGCGCGACCGAGTCACTGCATTGATCGACCCTGGCACGACCTTCTTGGAGTTGTCGCCGCTGGCCGCCCATGAGCTTTACCCCGAGGCTGATGTACCCGCGGGAGGCATCATAACGGGTGTTGGTGTTGTCGAGGGCGTTACGTGTGTGATCGTGGCCAACGACAGCACAGTAAAGGGCGGAACGTACTACCCAATTACCGTCAAGAAGCATCTGAGAGCACAAGCCGTTGCTCAGGAGAACAAGCTGCCGTAGGAACCCCATGATTTACACGCCGCGGCCAATTTTACTAATACTGACAATGACACAGTTGTATCTACATGGTCGATAGCGGCGGCGCCAACCTCCCACACCAGGCGGACGTGTTTCCGGATCGCGACCACTTTGGGCGCATCTTCTACAACCAAGCAAGGATGAGCTCCATGGGGATTCCCCAGATTTCGGTCGTAATGGGCCCGTGCACTGCGGGCGGTGCCTATGTGCCGGCAATGAGCGATGAGAGCATCATCGTTGAGAACCAGGGCCACATTTTCCTCGCTGGTCCGCCGCTAGTCAAGGCTGCCACTGGCGAGGTGATTAGTGCGGAGGAGCTGGGCGGCGGCAAGATGCACTCCTCTGTCTCAGGAGTAACAGACTACTTGGCAGTCGACGATGCCCATGCTATTACACTTGCGAGGCGGAGCATCAGCAACCTGAACTGGCCTACAAAATCACCTTCAACAGCAGCACCCGTGAAGGATTATGCTGAGCCTCTATACTCGCCGGACGAGCTTCTGGGTATCGCCAGTACCAACCTCCGGAAGCCCTTGCCCATCAAGGAGGTTATTGCTCGCATTGTCGACGGCTCCGAATTCTCCGAGTTCAAGCGCGACTTCGGTTCAACCTTGGTCACTGGATTTGCTCATATTCATGGCTACAAGGTTGGTATTGTAGCCAACGATGGAATCTTATTTGCCGAATCTTCTGTGAAGGGCGCACACTTCATTGAGCTGTGTGCTCAACGAGGAATTCCGCTAGTCTTCCTCCAGAACATCTCCGGCTTCATGGTCGGCTCCGCCGCCGAGCGTGGTGGCATCGCCAAGCATGGCGCAAAGCTTGTCACTGCTGTAGCATGCGCCGATGTTCCCAAGTTTACCGTCGTTGTCGGAGGTAGCTATGGTGCCGGAAACTACGGCATGTGCGGGCGAGCTTACAGCCCCCGTTTCCTGTGGATGTGGCCGAACTCACGCATTGGTGTCATGGGCGGTGAGCAGCTGGCTGCTGTTATGGAGACTGTTGGCAAGGCCGATCCCGAGTTAAAGGAGAGGATAGAACGGGAAAGCGACGCAACGTACTCGTCAGCCAGATTATGGGTCAGTCATTACCACTTACACGTCATACACTTTTTGCTAACCATGCTCATAGGACGACGGCATTATTCCTCCCCAGCATACCCGTAAATATTTGGGTCTAGGCCTTAGAGCAGCCATGTCAGGCCGGAATGAAGTCAAGGCTGGTGATACCAAGTTTGGCGTGTTCCGAATGTAAAGAAGGTAGATTTTGGTCATTTAGAAAAGGGAGCGCAAAACAAGCCATTTACTATCATTTCTTTGTGAAAATCGACAGCCCTCTATGAAGTGTGCCCTAAGTTTGGCGATATGCTCGGTAGAAGTTGGTAAGTATTCTTCATCATTCATCCGCCTTATAGCAAGAACGTATGTTGACCGATGACCGATTGCCGATAAAAAAGACCACAAACGAGCCATCAAGCCCATCTCACTTGCAATAGCTTACGTTTTATTAAGTGCCTAAGCTGGTTGACGAGGTTCTAGGTTCATCCGGGTGCCTTGCATGCATTCCCGCCGTTGCACTCAACGGCGTAGTGGAGAACTTTATTCGGGGCCCTGGAAGGAAGATGGCAGTTTGGCAGACGGTGAAATTTCCCACTCATATTCGCAGAACTCGCATCTTTCACGAAAGGAAACTCCCCGACCGGAGCAGACTGCCAAACAGAGACAGATTTGGCAGCATACGGAGAAGGTTTCTGCAACAGATCGGGAAAGAGCCAATCGCACGGAGCTCTCTCCGGAGACCCACCGGCCAAACCCTTGCCGAACGCCGGCGGTGAAAGCCCCGGACGTGTTGCACAGCCAGCCTTTGGTTCTTCCCCTTTTCGTTGCCTCTTCAACACATCACTCACATATCCCCATGTCTACGCATTTCATGACACCTCTCCACAAGTCTTGCAGATCAATCGTCAGCAAAAACGAACGTGGCCACAGCTACAACCGTCCACGTGCTCATATTCGTGTGACGTTTATAACGGGTCTTGAGTGTTCTACACGAGACGTGCTGATCAATTTCTTTCAGAAACTTTTTACATCGCGTGTTCTACTGGCTTCGAGAAGCAGGAAAGTACCTGACATCACCGGATGGGGTCTGGCCGAGGTTGAAGTATGGAATAGATGGTGTTATGGTGACACGCGACTAAACCTGCCCAGCCAAAAAAAGAGTCTCCGGCCACGGCAGCAAGGAGCCGATCTCATTCGCTTGTTGTTTTCAAGCCGAATATCTCACCACCCGGCCAGAGATGACTGATCATATTTCCTTCCGTTTCTTCTCACCCACGTGGTGTGCATCATGCCTCTCTTATTCCCAAACAAGGCACCCTTCACTTTTACCTTCTCTCCCAGGGCCGACCGCGATTTGTGGGCAACCCATGCGGTACACTCACACCCCAGTCTCACCGATCGCCAACCCATGCTTCACCGGTATGCGCTCACCGGGCTAGGCCCTGCAGTTCGTTCTTTTCAATCTTTTTTTCAGTCTTCTTTAGGGCTACTAGTACGGATATGGGACCCGGATAGTGGAGTGAGTGTCTTGATGCCGGCTGCGGCGGGCGCAGCAGGATTGCCTTTCTGGCACCCTTTTGAAGGCGGTCTCCTTTCTTTCTTGTTTGTCAATGTCTCTGTCTTAAGCCTTGGCTCGGGGATGGCGATGTGCTACTGCATGAAACAGAACCGGTCAGTGAAAAATGATGTTGGATGGTCCCCGGAGGCTTGGAAGAGACGTCGACACCGAGGGGCTGGATGGAGACAGACCGACAGCTCAAGTGAGCCTTCTTGCCAGCAGGCTCTCGTGGTACGGTTCACCGCCATAAGATCAAGGGCGGGTATATGAAGAGGGAAGCCCTAGTCGGTGAATTGGCTCGATTTGGTTTCTTTCGACCCAGACTAAAGGCAGTTGCCGAGGAGAGTTCTTTGTTCTGAAAACAAGCCATCCCAAAACCAGACAGCTTCATCTCTTTTCAGGCCGAGGGTACATACCACCAGCTACCTTCATTCATCATTCTCACACTATCAATTTGTCTCTTACTTCAGCTCATATCATATCAACCCCTCTCATAGCCTATTCATCCCTCCAAGTTGGAACAAAATGGCACCCTCCGCTCTACCGGAAGAGCCCCAGATGTACGCATCAAGCATTTCAGAAATGGCACGCGGCCGCAAGTTCTACCCTTCAAACAAGTTCATCATCAGCTGCGGCACCGTCACAATCGACATGCGGGCACGACGCGTGCTGCTGATCTATAACAAGAGACACGCTATCTACCAGATGCCCAAGGGGCGGAAAGATATCGGCGAAGACCTTCTTGCAGCAGCGCTGCGCGAAACGCGCGAGGAGACGGGCGTTACGGTGAAGCCCGTCACCTTGAGACTCAGCACGAGAGCCACGCCTGCGGGTGGACCCTCCGGTGCCCCGGAGGTGTCTGAGGAGATCACTGACACGGAACCGATCGCTGTGTGTCACTACCCTGACCCGGCTACTGGCGCTATGAAAATGGTGTTTTACTTTGTTGCGGAGGGGAATTGTGATCTTGGACCCGAGGGCTGGACGGGGGAGGACAGAGTCAAGTTTGACGTGAGCTGGGTCGATGTTGATGAAGCTGCGGACAAGTTGGCTTTCAAGGAGGATGGCATGGTCGTCACCAAGGCTCTGGAGGATTTGAGAAAATCGGGGTATGATATCTGATTTTAGGGGGCGCTTTGTGTTTCTATTGGATCAGGCAAAGTTGGGCGTTGGCCATTGGAAAACGGGAGGCAGGATTCGCGTGGGGTAATTTGACTTGAACACGACGCGCAGGCATACGGTGTTGGCATTGTCGGAATCTTCTACTTTCTCTGGGTTTGGGAAAAAGTCAAGAAGACAATGGAATTAGGCTAGATTGTTCACAAGAATCAGTTTTTGATTGAAGTCTGTTTGTTCCGGCCATTTTGATGAATCTCAGCAAATTAGCCTGAAGAGCTCATGAGAGCTACCAGCCCAATATCTGGAGGTTCACTTCGAGGGCTTCCCGACCCGTTGTCTGCGAAGAAGAAGGAGTCTAAGTGGAAGAAAAGAGAAAACATGAGGAAACGGCATCACGACCGCGGACCAACTCCCGAACGCAGCAGGAGTCTGACAGCTTGGCGGTGACAGGGGCTTCCCATCCATCTCGGATGCATTATCCAAGTCTCCCCGGCGACATACTTACCCCTAACTTGCGATCGATTCATGGGAAGAAATTTCAATCTGACAAACCAGAACGCTGGGTCTTGCAGGGCGGGGTGGGCGGCGATGGATGCAGGGCTGCGGCGGTCCAGCCCACCGCTGCCCGCGGCCGCTTCCCTGTCGTCAAGACATCTGATGGAATAGAGATGTGCAGTTGAGAATCGTTGAGAGTTATTTGGTTCAATTGCATTTCAGCCCGTTTCATGATTGGTTTACTGTCACTTCACCGCGTGTATGTCTCGTCGTGCCGTCCCTTGGCGTCTCTCGGTTTCATGAGTACGATTCATTCACCGTAATGGAATCGAGGAAAGACAGAAAGAATAGAGACAACATGGTTGACCGAGAAGGTTTAGATGACTAGCTGCATGAAGCTTTACCTTAGCGAGTCTTTCTTGACTAGCAGGCGCAATTCGTGTCTCGGGTCGACCGTGACTGCCGAAGCCGGCCGGTCGAACTCGGGACCGGCGCCGGCATTCTTCGACTAGTGGGGCCGATCATACCCACCCTTGGCGGGGTCGACCCTTTTGCCGAATTGATTTTCATTGAAGCAAGTGGTGACATCACCCCCACGAAACCCCCCTCCCACTTGGAAGTCCCAAGCTCCTGATGGGGCCCTCATTGCTACCCCTCCATGGAGACAATCGAGGACCGCGGCTGTCCCCCTCTCTTGCCAATCGCGAACAATGAAATTGTCCAAACAGAAGGGGCGCAGAAAGCTTCCGTTAGCTTCGTCTGTACTGCAAACGTCAGCGAAACGGACCAGCTCTTAACCCCGCCAAAACGCAGCTTAATCCGTCATTGACTCTCCACTTCGAGGAGCCCGCACCCGCACCCGCAACGTACATATTATTACCTCCACTTGACGTTTGAAGCATAATAAATCCAATGTCTTCCCACACTGCCAAAGCCGCGCGCTCCGCTTCCCAAGCTTTATCTAGATCGTCGTCCCGGATTCCCAAACAACCTCACTCCCCCACCCCTGCGATAGCTTCCCGACCAACAACCACAACAACACCAAAGAGCTTTGCGACTTGCTACAGCTCAACCACCACATCGACACCCCTTACACAGCAATTTCACAAGTCGTTCTCGACACAAGCCGCCAAGATGTCGACTATGCCTGCTCAGCACGGCCACAGCGAGGGATGCTGCAACATCCCTCCTGTCGTCTCCAAGGGCTACGATGCCAAGGGCAGCTATGAAGAGATTGGATCAAAGAGGACCTGTGAGTCAGCTGCCAGGTCTACCTACCTAGCCAATGCGTTACAGTGCTAAATGAATTACCACTACAGACGTCACCGGTCCCGCCGATGCAAAGAAGGCCATCGTCGTCACTTTCGATATCTTTGGATTCTTCCCCCAGACGCTCCAGGGAGCCGATATTCTGGCCACCAGCGGCGCCGAGAAGTACCGCGTATTCATCCCGGACTGGTTCGCTGGCGAGCCCTGCCCCATCGAGTGGTTCCCTCCCGACACCGAGGAGAAGCAGAAGAACCTCGGCGGTTTCTTCCAGAAGTTCCCGCCTCCCAAGATTGCCGAGCAGACCCCGGACTACGTCAAGGCCATCCAGTCAAAGTACTCATCCATTGAGTCTTTTGCTACCATTGGCGTAAGTGTCTCTCCAGCCTACCTCAGTACAGAGTAATTGGGTAGACGCTAACAAAATCGCAGTACTGCTGGGGCGGGAAGGTCGTTTCACTCGTGACCTCGGGTGACAAGAACCCCTTCAAGGTCGCCGCCGAGGTCCATCCCGCCATGGTCGAGCCCGAGGATGCTAAGGGCATCAAGATTCCGCTCATTATGCTCGCTTCCAAGGACGAGCCCGAGGAGGATGTCAAGAAGTTCGAGGCCAACCTCAACGTGACTAAGCACGTTGAGACTTTCAAGGACCAGATTCACGGATGGATGGCCGCTCGCTCTGACTTGGAGGATTCCAGAGTCAAGGAGGAGTACACTCGTGGATATAAAACAGTCCTTGAGTTCTTTGGAAAGAACTTCTAAGGTTGCGTGTAGATCATAATAATCACGAAGGAATTATGAATCACGTCGAGGGCACAAATTGAGATGGTTTCATGGAGACCTCGTTGTGCATGCGCTTCATGATGAACCATTCGCCATTCTGTCAGAGAAACCAGGACCACAAGCCTCTTCTGTGGGACGTGGCTAATGGAAAAGAAGGCTATCTCGATGTTACAACAGCTGACCTTTGTGATAAGACCACTTGAAGATTCTCTTTTCGATGTCGATTTCCTTGAACCTCCACAAATTGCTTGACAGTATTTCCACGTTCTCACATTGATTCTGTCCCCACACAGCACCATACTCTTTGAGTGACATGAAAATTGACAAGCTTCCTTTCTCAGCTGCATACAACATAGCATCCTTCCCATTGAACTCCCCATTGATACTCACGCCCTCGCGAGTGAGCAGACACCGGAAAAGTCCCACGAAATTGCGATCGATCGCCTGAATCAGAGCTTGTTGTATGCCAAGGCAGTCATGGTCGGCTTTGGTGTCATCCAATATCATTCTCACAACCTCTGTTTTGGATCTGCGCCAGGGAGCTCCCTTCATTGCATACCACAAAACCGTTCGGCCGCTGTGGTCCTTCGAGTTCAAGTCCAGATTTGTCAGCTCTAGGATCATCTTGAAAGCTTCCGCTGATTCATGTCTTGCAGCATAACATAGCAGCGTTGCCCCTAAGTCGTCTTCTGAGCACATGTCAAAACCATACTGACAAAACATATCAATGATGGCAAGATCAAATTTATGACGAGCGTAAAGCCATATAGCACCGGCGCTGCCCCCAATGTCTGGGCTGGCGCCGTATGCCAGAAGAGTCCGGATGATTTGGTAATTTGTGTCTTTCGCTGCGCATGCCCAAGCTAAGGGGGTTCGACCACCTTTATCCGGGACGTCAACCTTGGTACCGTTCTTCAAAAGAAGTTGCACAGCCGCGAGATTGCCGCAACCTGCAGCCCATGATAATGCAATTCGTCCTTTCTCATCTGTAGCGTCGATATCGACATTATGGTCAAGAATAACTTCCACAACCGCCATGCTGCTTTTCGCAACAGCCTGTAGTAAAGGGCGCTTCCCCCCATTTGATTCGACCTCTGCTTCGACATTCTTTTCTAACAGGAAATGAAGAGCTGGGATATTCCTAGAGACGATGGCCCAGTATACCGGGGTCTTGCCGTGGTGGTCTTGGGCTCCAATATCCGCTCCCATCTCTACGAGAAGTTGAAGAGCGGCTGTAACATTTTCCTCTACATCAACTGATGCAGGGTTTTGAATACTGGGTTCTTGCATGTTCAAGTCGTGTCTTTCAGCAATGACTGCACCACTCATGAGCGCCGGCAAAGCTGACCCTGTGCCCGTCATGCTGGCCACTGATGTGAGGATCTCCTCGCCTGCATCCCAAGTATAAATGCAAGCCCCTTGTGTCATAAGAAACCTAAACGCTGAGTGGAATCCCATAAGAGCGAGTGCGCAATGTATCCTTCCCATGTTATTCGACGTATCGAGGTTGGCCCCTAGCTTCAGGAGCAGTCTCAGAGTCTCAGTGAGCCCTTGATCCAATAGTGAGATCTCACTATAGTCAAAGCTTTCTCCTCTGGAAATGAGTAGTAACAGCTCGTCAAGCATGACATTTAACGAAATGGTTCGCCCTCCATCCGCTAAGGTTGAGATAGCTGAATGATAGTTCGAGTAAATATGTGAGTCCGAGTACTTCGAGTATCTCAAAGAGTTCAGGAATGCCAAAATGACGTGTGGCAACCATTCGTGAAGATTTTGGTCGAGTTCTTTGCTGCATATGAAGTAGACAACTGTCGTCCAGCAAATGCTTGTTACAAAGCGCTCTGTGATAAATATTGGTTCCTTTCGAAACTTAGTGAATTGTTTCCAGAAGTGGGATCTGGATCTCCCAAAGATATTGAGCCATAAGGCATGATTATGGCTGCTTGACTGTAAGAAGATAAATAACTCCTTGTCCTGCTTAGGATCCCCATTGAGCCTTCGCTCAGCGGAGAACCTCATAAAGGCTTCTAGCACAGCCGCGTGTTTTTTCTCTATAGCTACTCGCATGCATTCTCGAAAACACTGAATCGATACCTTTCTCTTGAAAATTTTAGTGCATGGTGAATGTGATTCAAGCGGGGTGTGCTCGATGGCGTCGCTGTCGAGGTAAAACTTGACAACATCTAACCGATTTGCGAAGGCAGCCCACCACAACGCGGTTTTACCACTTTCGTCAACCGAGTACATGTCGATCTCCGGGAGAGTATAGTTGGTGAACAGTTGGAGAATCCCGAAATATGCTGCCACTTGTGCCGACGTGCGAGGGATAGATCGCATCCAACGTAGTCGTCTCAGCACCGAAACGGATCTATTACGTGCGTCTTGGTTCCGAAGAAACCCAACTACTTCTGTCGGGATAATGGAGCTCTCTCGTGTGTGCTCCGCCCAGTATAGAGCTGCATAGTTGAAGAATGGAGCGGAGTCGTATTCGTAGAAGTCGTAGTCTCTGGGAAGCTTGTAAACGTTCTTGATCGAAAGGTAATTGGTACACGCGATTGCGATTTGAGAGTCAATATCTGGGAAAAACTGATGTCTTTTCCTCTCGAAGTACTCTTGTGTTGTCTGGTGAACAAGTCGTATCACACCACCACTTCGCTCACTGACTGTTACAAGTCCAGCACATACAGAGATCATGGTTTCGACTGGTATGATGTTGTCCTGGTCTATATTCGTTTCTCCCTCTTCGACGGCGAGGGCATGCTGCAGCTCTTCGATTGTAAGAGGCCTCTTGGCGCCTGTTGTCCAAGAGAGAACGTTCAGCGCGAGCTCAACGTGCTCAGAGGGTTGAGACCTAATCCGATTCATGGCCTCATTGTATACGGCTGAGTAGATGTTTGCCTTTTCACTCGTTTCTCCAAAGACTTTGAGTGCCTTCTTGAGCTCCTTCGGGCTCAGCTTGTTAGACCAAGCATCGATGAGCAGTCTCGCCAACAGGAACCTATGTGCGTCAGCACCATTTTCATGACGGTAGATACAGAGGTAGAGCTTGGAAACTTACATTCCGTTAACCTTTTCTGCAATGGTGTGTCTGATTTCCTTCTGTAAATCAAGGTTGTTGCGGACAAAGCTCTGCATGCGGGCCATACGATCTGACGTGTATCTTAGTACGTCCTCCTGATTAGCCCTGATTTCTACAGAGATAGAATTCTCAAATTCCTTCGACTCCAAGATCTCAGGAATTTCTCTGGTGGTTGCAAAAATATTGACTTGGGATCTTTGTTGTAGCCGGAGGATTTCTGGAAGAAAAGCTTGTCGAGCGTTTCTATCACACTCATCCAAGGCGTCAACAACGATGAATGTTCTTTCGTAGCAGGAGGATAAGACCTGGAGCAGATCGATGGTCTCTTGAGTAGATCTTGAGGTCTTCCGCTTCTGGTGTTTGTCGTAGAGCGTCTCAAGACTTTGAGGGAATTCAGAGCAGGATTGCGCCAGCTGCTTCGCTAGACTAGACAAGAGATCGTGGCAATCTTGGCGTTCGGTGTCCTTGAAGTTGCAGTAAACGTAGGCTATCCCGACCCTCGGTTCCTCACGGAACCGGTGTATCAAATGGTCTATGACGACGGAAGTCATGATGGTCTTGCCGGCCCCTGGCATCCCATGGCACAGCAGAGTCTGGCCTCTGTTTGCTACCCATTCAAATTCCTTGGACTCTAGTAGCCAGGATGCTGTTTCTGGGTGCCTTGTGGAGAAGTAATCTCGTTGTTGTGATGAATAGTTGGATGGCGTCAGCCACTCCAAGATTTCCTGTCGATGTTTACTGACTTGCTCATGGTGCATCGAATCCACCGCCTGCTTTGTGCTTTGGATGGCTCGACTGTGGAGCGTCGTCAGCCGCCGCCGTACTGATAAGGAGTGCACGGATTCACACTGACCTATCTGACGCGTTCTTGAGGGTGTTCAAGAGTGCAATTTTGACGGACAGACTCGATTGAATGTTGTTGATCACTCTTGGGTCGACTTGTAACCGCTGAAGAAACTGCAAGAGCCTTGCTTTGTCCCATATCTTCTTTTCGAGAGGCTGTTTTAGTTCCTGGCAATCGTCTAAAATTTGTTTCAATCTCTTCAGGTCCTTGTAGGAACCTTCGATGATGTCCTCCAGTATCTTTTTCTCCCCATCATTGAGATTCTGCTGTGGGCAATGGGCTTCCTCAAGAAGCGGTTCGATGATCTCCACGCTATTACTGACCATTAGTCAAGACTTCTCTGACGAATACACGACGAGGAAATGTCGAAAGCATACTTCCTCACTAGAGAGACAAACAGCTCAGGCGCCTCAGAAAATCTGTCGTGGCAGTGTCTCAACTTGTCTATGACAGCGATGAAATCGCCGACACCAAACCCGAAACTCATCTTGGACGAATTTATCCGCAGATTTACGTAGGCGCATGAAATCGAAGCAAAGAAAGGAACGAGGATGACAAGGAGGACGAGGGAGGAACTGGGAGATTTAAAGAAGCAATGTCAATGGGAAACATTCCTGCACACCTGATTGGGCGTAACGTTGACCTCCAGCCGCGTCAATGTAGCTATGCAGGCTACGAAGTGGCTGCAATACTCCCCAACAGAGGTTTATAATCAGATTGGTTTGCCTGCAACCCACGTTTCTGTGGCTGTATAGGTGTGGGAGGCTATGCCAGACCGGCTGCAGCAAATTAGGCGTCGACACGCTTACCTATTCCTGCCTGACATTTCATACTCTTTTGAGGGCGCAGGCTCACGCGCGTATTGTGGCTGTCTGGTCGACCAGTAATTCACTTTAGATACCTATGTCACCCCCCAACCGGCTCTGGGCCCTGTCTTCGCCTAAAGACCGGGCATACAGCCGTTTCACAACGCCTGGTGAAGGAAGAGACCAGACCTACGAAAGGAAGCAGATATCAAGGAAGCAATGTGAAGAGCCGAGGGCTACGCATTCTGTTGTAGGATTTCAGTGAAAGACAAATTGGCAAGAGGCCAACGTCTCCGGGGAAGCCCGGACATCAATACTTGAGTATTCTGGTTTCTCTTGCTATGACGAACACGAGACAATCGAGCTGGGCATATTTCATTTGCCAGTGATTATTTTATCTTAAGATTTGTAATTTGGAGTTGCTGGTACATGTACAGGTCAATAGGGCAATGCAACATTGTAGCTGACACGACGCTCGATGATGGGGAAGGCTGAGAGAGATCCTCGTAATTGCGACTCGCTTGATCATCTCTTCTAGATCTGATAGAAGAAAAAAAAAACACCCAGATTCGACAAAGAGCTCCTCTGTGTCTTCTGCCAGAGGAAGTGGGTAGTTGAGACAGATAAATCCCATAGTTGAAGCAGAGATTCGCCGAAGTTTTTGAAACTTATTGGTGAACTTGCGAGGAAGGACCTGCGAGCTGCAAAGCTGCAAGAAAGCTCTGGGCCCTTGCTTCCCAAAATCTCCTATGTAAGTGTATGGCGTCTACTGCATGTTCTCCTTGCCTACCTCCTAGGGCCATAGGCTTAGCAAAGCTTTAGAAAAGTGCTCCTCTCATCAAGCTCTATCGGAGTAAAGCAAACAACTCAGTGATTTCCCACCTCTGTGGTAGGGATATTCCACTACATTGGTGTTGATCTCCTCTCCTTCATGCTGTTATTTGTAGAGACATACCGTAAAAGGGAACGCTCAAGCTGGAGTAATTGTCAACAGTGATATTGAAGATCCCAAGTTCAGTCTATGATACGAGCATAGCACCATCGCCCTTCAACCCACCTTCTCCTCCGCCTCGGAGAAACAACCTCAAACCCCTTCCCCTGAACCACCGTGATCCCAGCACCATACTTCAACAACACCCCAAGCACCCCAACATCCTTCCGCCCCAAAGCATACGCAACAGCAGTATGTCCCCTCCCATCTCGACGATTCACATCAACATCACCCCTACCACACAAAAACTCCACAAGATCCGCAGCCCCAGCCGCAGCAGCAAGATGCAGCAACCCCCTCCCCTCCCCATCGACATCCTCAACCCTCACCCTCTCATCCTCAAGAAGCACAAACAATGTATCCGTATCAGGCACAAAGATCCGACCGGACTTGATCCACGCGCAGAGGGCATACCACACCGGCGCCCGAAGATCCCCGTCTTTGAGGTTGACGTCTATGCCCGGGACCGCCATCAACAAGCGAGCCATTGCCGGGTCCGTCGTTTCCGCGGCGTACGAAATCGCCGTTCGACCACTCGCATCGGATAGGCTGACGTCGGCTTCGTGGTCGAGGAGTGACTTGACTGTGTCCATGTCTCCGCGCCGGGCGTGTTCGCAGAGGGGAAGGGTTCCTTGGGCGGATAACGTGTTTGGGTTCGCTCCCTGTTGTAAAAGATCCCGTATTTCACTCAGGGATCCCTGGGCAGTGATTTCGTGTAGTTTTCTGTCCAGGTCGGTCTCTGCTCTCGAAGCGTTTACGGTGATCGGTTCTCGCTCAACGGTTCCTGTACCTTGTGTATCGAGAGACGCTTCGGTCGTGGCGTCGCCAACGTCGACCCATCCCTGGTCGATAGCTTCACGAGGCCTGGGATCCATCGAAACCTCCTTGCTGATTTCGCCGGAGCCAGAAGCTTTGCGATTGTCCACAAGTTCCTGAAGCTGTCTGTCCAACATGGCATCTACACCGGAACCGTACACCTCAGGCTTCACCGCGAGAGCAACCTCAGCCAACTCGCGCCGCCGCGCCTCCGTTTCCCGAATTTCGGGCCTGGTATTGACTTCACGAACCATCGTCGGTACTGCTGAAAAGGGAAGACAGAAAGGTCAGATAAATTCAGTAAAAGTTCGTCCGCCTTTGAGGGAGTCTACCACTGGCCTACCGGTTGCTGGTATACTATCCTTTGTACCGAAGTCGGAATACGCGCTCGATATAAGACGTCTGGCAAAGAAGAGACGACAAATTGCTAGATGACACTCCTCAACGTCGTCAGCACGGCTTTTGTTGAGCCGACAGAAAACGCCAGCCTCGCCAATACCTGACACGCCCACACATACACCGAAGAAAAACCAACCCACGGGACGGACGCATATGCACCAGCCTATCACAAGGCAACCAAGACCAACCCAACTCTCTAACCCTTTTGCAACCCCCTGAAGCCTTGCAATTCGCCCTTCCATTGCGCCCAAGAGTGCAGATCTCACTGGTGCAAAGGTGGTTACACACCAGGCAGCTATGTGAACTTGTTCCTGCGCCACAAGGTCACGCGCGGGGGAATGTGTATGTGAGGTGGGCACATCGCCCAGCTTTCGGCTGCTAGGTTAAGTAATGTATAACTTCCATGGAAGACTCTCTCCTCGACCAGCAGATTAGCGTTCTTGGAGTGTGCTCAGAATTACAGCTCCCCATTCAAGTCGTGTGGGAATAATCGCTCTTGTACCTGACTCCTGATGAGATTGACGTAGCCATCCTCGTTTAATCTGGTCCTTGCTTCATCGTCACGTTCAAGTCCAAACAATGTATGAATCTGGGGGCAATTTTCATTTTTTTTCATACATCAATTGGCTTTCGAAACAGCCAACCGCATCCATTAGCTAAGTTATCTCATGCAACCATCTGTCTGCCGTTGTCGCATAACGCGACCAAATCGAACGCCAAAACCTCGCCAGTCCCTAGTATGCTACCGTCCCGGAATGAAAAGAAGTGAGAAAAAGAAGATAGTTACACAAGCAGCAAAGAAACCCTCCTATGCTCAAGATGTGAGGAAGAAGAAAAAAACCAAACCACAAGACCGAGGTCACGTCCGCCGGCTTGTCAACTAGGCAACCAGGGATTGGGGCTCGGACTTCTCGCAGGTAAAGAGGTTGACGTGGTAGTCTCCACGAGCAGCGCAAGCCAAGATCGGCTTGTGCGGGTGGAAGGCAGTTGCTGCGATGGGAGAGCCCCTGTTCTGTTGAAGGAAGCTTGAGTACGGTTCGACACGGGACAACTCTTGACCGTCGAAGTTGAAGACCTTCACGGCATGTGCAGATGTACCACTGCAATGGGATGTTAGTTTCAATATCACAATATTAAGAGGTCCAGGGTGATAACTTACACAGCAAACACCGGCAGATGTTCATGCGTGCTGGCTGTTCGAAGGGTGTCTCGAGTTGTTTGGTAAACGTGGAGAGGTCGATCCATGCGAATATCCCATAGTTTGACCTTTCCGTTTCTGCTTGCGCTGAGCAGTTCTCGTTGTCCGCCGCGCTGCAAATGAACGCTCTTGATCCATTGCCTATCCGTTTCGTCTTTCCACTTCTTGATCATGGAGTCCTGGGGTCTGATACGGGTGTCGAAAACGCGAACAGCGCCGTCGCCGAACCCTGCCACAACTGTGTGACCGGTCATCTGGTCAGATGTCAAAGACGTGACGCAGGAGCCAGACCGGGCGGGAATGTCAATGACGCATTTCTCAGCGCCAGCAGACCACACCCGAATGACACGCACATCGCCAGCCACAAGTACGCGGCCGAGCGACTGCTGCCAGTCGAACACCATACCGGAGTTGACGTTACTGGGCACCATGTGTGTAAGTGCTCGCCAAGACGAGGCTAGGTTGATGGATTTGTCGGAATCGTAGTTTTGGTAGATTCTGAGGACTCCATCTGACGAACCAGTCATCAGGAATGCCTGGTCGTCCTCATTGATGAACTTCATATCACTGATCCTCGACCCTTCAGGATTTCCGTTGGAAAACTTGCTCAGCCGTGCATGCTTCTTCCAATCCCAAACGCACACCGTGTTACCATCGTCTGCAACCGCAAGCTGGTCTTCAAACTGGTGGAAGGTGAGTTTGGCAGGTTGCGAGCCATTGTTGGTGATGCCCAACTGATTATTCCACTTATGGCTACCGGCGAACTGCTTGAGTGGTTGCGTTTCTGTCAAGATGAAATCGTTCCGGGATCTTCTCCAGAGCCGTTCGTTATACTCAGTGCTGCCAGGCTCGTCCGACTCGCTCGGCTTCATCTGAGGCTCGCAGAAGTATTCAATAGACCACTCTAGGAAAGAACTTTGCAGTGGCATGGCTGGTGCTTCGCCCAGCTTACGATCCTCAAATCCAGTGGAGACAGGCTCTTTGGCAATGTGATAATTGGCATGGATAGCCGTTGGATCGCTCTGTTCTGGTGGCGCTTCAGCAAGCTCAGGGGCCTTGATCTTCTGGGAGCCAACCCTATGCAGACCGGGTGATGGTGCCGGAGAAGAGTAGTTCGGCTTTTCGCTGGCATCGGCCTTTCCATCATTGCCGAATAGTGGCAGCTGGAAAAGCAAGCTTGCCGTGCGACGCAACAGGCCAGGAGATGGCAGTGGTGGAGTAGCCAAAGAGTTAGAAACGCCAATCGCATTACTTCTTTGGCTCAAGTGCAAGTGATT